TAATAAACTATGTTATTAATTATGTTGATAACAATACTTTTACTTATATCACATTTAATACAAATGTTATTCCACTTGTTGAATACATGTTCTATCATATATACATATATATAATATTACACTATTAGAATGTATTACGTTTTACATGTATATTAGTTAAAAAAGAGAAAACATTGATGTTGGACAATAATGTTTATATTACTTATATGTACAGAACAAACTATGAAATACTATTAGTATATAAACTTCATAAGATAACATATGTAATAAATTATAAGGATAGTAGAATATTTACTCTACATACATGTAAGGACAAATATATACATAATGCATGATTTTAACACATATCCCTTTTTGGTAAAAAAAAAAAGTGCATCAGATAGTGTTATATGCTTATGTATGTGCTTCTTCATTATATCCCTCGAACCATTAACAAATGTAATTGGATTTCAACGACGTCCTAGTGGAAATTGTTCGAAATTTACTAAACTAACCAACGTTTCACCCGTTTCAAGTTCTTAATCAAATTAAATATGAACTTGATAATCGTAGCAACATTTAGACGTTGGGAGCCGCAATGTTATCATTATGCGTATTATCCTTCATGGTTGTTAAGAACTGATAAAAAAACTCATTCATAAGTCTCTTCTTTTTTATTAGACACAATAGCACACCCAAACACATACGTCTGTTTATAATTAACACCTGAAAATACCACCATAGAACATTTATACTTATTTCTCCCATAAGTAGCATCACAAGCAACAACATCTCCAAATATTCCATAATCAATTTGACTAATACCATCACACAAAAAAGATGCAACAATCTTCCATTATAATCTACCTTATGACCATAATACAACTTCAAATCCTTAAACCGTAATCCTAATAAGAATTTTCCTGCCTCTTTGACATCCCTATCCTCTCTTCTTCTATCTTTCTCAATCTGATTGTACATATCTTTTTTTACAAAATCCAACCATCTCATAACTTCTTCTTTGGTTAACAAATGAGATATATTTTTGACGCTGGAATACCATTTTCTTTATTATCCACATTTGTTCAACATCAGCAACATACATTTTTTGATGTGACTTTAATATTCCATAATAATTGTCATCAACTAAATGATGATTATGATTATGATCATAAAAAATTCATGAAACTACCCTAACACCCTCTATCTATATCTTTTTGTATCTTCAACTCAGCCTCACAACTAAATCTAGTCATCGCTTTGTGGTCCCTAAGACGATTTGGCAAACTTTGATACATTTGTTGTTGGAAACTTTGGCTTGAACACACAAATTGTTGCCATACAACATCTTCGTTCTTATTTTTACCATGTTTATTTTTCCTCACACCAAACCCATTCATTTTGCCGTATTCGTTATAAAATTTATAACCTTTATTCACACTCAAAAATTTCATGTCTTACTCTGATTGTTAGATAAATCAAACAAATATTCGTACCCATCATTCTGCATATCAACTTCATCTGAAGTAGTAATTTCCTCTTCAACATTACATTCATCAACAAAAACCTATAACAAATTGAAATCAATATGGAAGTTACTGCATGCAAATCAAATACAACAACTATGGTCTTTCACTTAAACATACAAATTGTATACAAACCTTTTCGTTTCTATCATTATTTCCACTAACATTCATTTTAACTTAGAGACTAACAATGGATATTATTCAGCTTGCATTACCCAATCTCTTCCTCTTCCTCTTCTCGTCCTAGTCCCTTTCCTTTTTTTGTTTAACAAATGCTACCCTTTGATGGTTCTTTCTCAAATTCACCTCTTGTTCCTATGTATTAATCTAATTTTAACAAAAAATGTTAAATCCATTTCAAACTTTAGAATGTTAAATACAATTTATCACTACTAACTACATGGGTTTTAGGAGACAACTGATGTACATACACTATTTTATTTTTATGTATATTTCTTCTACAATGGTTCTTTGAGACATCTGATGTACAAACAATATTTTATATTTCAAATTTTCACTTTCTACATTGGTCGCTCACAAAACCGACTTATAAGACTACATGTTATATTTCGCTTCTTTCTACATACATTATCTCACCGCACCAATGTAGAAAGTGCGCTTTTTAAATATGTCTACACTTTCTACAATGGATGTGGGTTAAATCCGACATACAATTAACAACATAAAATGTTACTTTCTACATTATATCATTTGCATTCATTGTCATTGTAATTGTTAATGATCACAATCAGAACAAAAATGATGCAACGGGTTAGGATGTCATACAAAGTACGAATTCATTAACATTATTTGTACCATTTCTTCTCCAATTTCTGTCTTTTGAACGACGTTTCATCTTCTCTGACAGTGCATAATAAATATGACAAGATGAATAACGTCAGTTGTTAATTTTTTGGGATGCCATAATCAATGTTGACACTCCCATCCTTGAAAGGAACTTCTACCTATGAAACAAAAAACTCATATTACTCATTCATCAACGGTCTATATATATATATATATATATATATATAAAAGCTTGCAATTTACTTTTTTTACCTTTTATGACTAACAACAGAATTAGGTTACTCATCTGGTCTTTTTCTTTTTCTATTTCAATCGTAGTCATTGATTTAACACACAATATAATTAACGGTCTTAATTATTTTGAAATTTGCTTATATAACATCTTTACTTTTACAATTCTATTATTTTTATAAAGAAAGGAAGGACAGTAGAATCACCTTTTCATTTGAGTATCTCCAACAAAACAATGCATTTGCATTGATCAATAAGTTAACTTTGAGAATGACAAAGGCTAGAGTTGATACCTAGTATCAAGGAATTAGAAAAAGCTCATTGTGATTTTCATGCTCTTGTATTAAGCAAAAATTGTACTCCGTTCATGCTTTAATTAGCATACGTTACAATTGCTTCCATTTAAAATATTACATATTATCACAAACCAAATTTATATAATATATAATTTTGTAGGTGGCATAATGTTGGTACCTCCCCTTCAAATATCTCTTTGCCTCCCTGATTTATGAAACACACAATACTTCCCTCTCACAGTCCTTCCTTTCATTGTTGCTACTAGTAACCAAAATAGGAAAAAAAAATGTTGTTAGTCTCACAGGAAAAATAGAACATATAAATTCAAAAACCTTCATTGATTGGCTAACACATGGTAGAAGTAGAGAAATTAATGTCTCTCTCACTTGAGCAATTCTACATGCATGACATATGTCATACATAGCTCTCACTTGAGCAACTCTGCATCAATAAAATGTGTCATACGTAGAATAAGTGGCACTTGTCTAACAAGAGCTATTGTGCATATATGCCATGTGTCAATTTTGATGCTAATTCAAGAAGAATTTTAAATTATTTTGAGTGTTTTTTTTATATATTTTAATAAATTATTTCAAAAATATTCTACTTTAATATTTTGTTAGTAAATTTTGTCTATAATAACAAAAAAAAAATCTCTTAAAACCTCATGACACAGAAGTGCACTCAAGCTATTAAATGCACAATTAATTTATTTTGATAAATCATTTTATAAAAATTAAAATAAATTAAAAAATTGCGAGAGTCATAAATTATCTTTATAAAAGATGAGATTATAAAATTAATTTTATTTGAATTTTTTATTTTAATTATGAAAATATTGTTTTAATATGTTTTATTTTTAAATACTCATGTAAAAAATAAGAAAAATAAATAAATAATTATAATAAATCTGACCTAATACATAATTAAAAACAAGTTAAACTTATATTTAACTGCTATAGGAAATTATGTTTTTAATTTAAGATTAAAATAATGTTTATTTATATATTTGTACGTATGTTTAATTTAATCATATTTTTTAAATAAAAATCTAAATAAATAATTATTTAAAATTTATTTATAGTTTAACTATAAAAAACTGTTGATATAAATTAGAAAGTTATTTTTTTATAAATAGAAAAAAACATATACCCATGGTACTATAATGTTACTATGGAAAAAAAGTATTAAGAATATACTTTGTGACACACTTTTTTAATATACTTTATTTATCAGATAAATTTTACAAAAAGTATAAGACTATGAGTGTTAATAATTAAATTAAGAAAAAAATTAAATAATTTTATTTTTTAATAAATTTAATCTAATAATAAAAATAATAAATTAAATAATATTTTATTAATTTATTAGCATTTCTCTTAAAAGCATCTTAAAATATTATTCCAATAGCAATACACAACTTATGAGTGGAGTATTAGCAAACATGTTTTCTTTGCTTTTCTTTTTTAATTTTTTTCAAAAACTTTTAATAGTTCTTGGTATAACATCCTTTACAAATTTTAAAAATATTTATTATTTTTTTATATTTATCTTTCATAATTTATTGATCATTTCTAATTTTCCAATGATTAATATGATATAGTTTAACTTTAAATAAAAATGATTTTGAAATATTCTAATTAATTTTTAAAAATTTATATTAATTGATTTTAACAATTTTTTCTTATTTTCATGATTATGATTCAGTTGAAATAATATTATAAATAAAACAAAAGAAAGCAAGTGAGAAACGTTACTAGATTCACTTGAGAGAAAGTGTGGGAGTCTTGTTAAGTTTTGTTATAAAAGCATTAATTTACATTGATTGAGATTCAGCAGAATTAAAGGCTAAAAAATAATTTAAAGAGCTAAGTACATATTTTTCATTAACTAAGTTATAACATAGAAAAAATGACTAAAAGATTTTATTTGATCTAAATTAGAAGATTTTTTTTTTCATTTAAGTCTCAGCCATAAAATGTGAAATAAAATAATTTCATATTTGATTTCAAGTAATCATTGACATGTTTTGTTTCTATCCATAATAAAGAGAATTATTGAAAATCCAACATATACCAAAATAATTAAGGCTTATTATGCAATTTCACGGTGTTATTGAAATGATTGAATTTGTTTCCTTCTTCCTTATTAAATTGATCCGTCCATTTCACTCTCATTTCCTTTTTCCGAGGTTGTTGCAGGCCACTCCAACCCCCATTTTCTCGTCTTTTTTGTGTTTGTGTGTTCCCTCGGATTCCCAGTCACAATCTTCAAAACCCTACCTTCATTTCCCAATTCTCAATTCATCATTCAACTAATCAAGGTTTGATATTTTCTACACATCTGTATTTTATCACCCTTTTTCTTCTTTCTTTTGCTATGAATCACAATTTGGATGGCCCTGCTTTTTCTTTTTTGACAATTAGATCGAATAATCTGTAGTTTCTTATAGGCTGAACATGGAATCACGTTACCCATATTTGAACTTTCCAATTGAAAGCATAGGTGTTGTGCTGGCACGACATAATATAAGCATTTTAGATTTAAGTTATGTATTGTTCTCTCTTTTTGTAAACTTTGGTTGCTGCTGTTGTCTTGCTATTGGTTTTTGCTTTCAATGTTAAATGGGAAAAAGAAAATAACTTAAATTTACAGATAATGCTTCTTTGGAGCACATCATATTTCTTTGTTTAGAACTGGTCTTCGCTTATATATGTAACCGAATGAAGAATGAAAGATACGTGTTTTGCATTTACGATCATAAGGAATTTGCAATATCCAGTTACCCATGATTTTTGTTTGTGTGGGAGGTGGGCTTAATTTACTTCTTGGAACTTATGAATTAGTTGTTTTGGCTCCTCAATTGATACCATTTGACAAATGATTCAGATTTAGGATATAATGATATGGATAAGGTTCTTGATTTCGTGCTTATTGGTTATGGCACATCAAACTGTAGTCTCATATACATTTTATCATGATTATTGGTTATTGCATACTTGCTGTGTATACTTAGATCAAATGAGTAACTACTCTGTAACCATGACAAATTTATTATCTTTTTTTCAATATTTGTTGTAAAATGATAATAACATTGTGTAATTGCACTTCTATTTTCAGCTTTTGCGTGTTGTAATGTTAAAGGAAGTGAGCTATATCATTTGTCTTTTGGTTTGAAAGGGTTAATTTGAATGGAAAAGAAAAGATTAGATGACTACGAACCAGGTCCTGTTCCTTCACCAAGAGCATTAGACAGATTTGGGTTTGTAAAACAGGATGTTAATACTTCTGATGGGTTAGTCAAGAGTAGATCAGCATATGAGAGGTATTTTGTTTTCTCTCGTTGATTGATGTGTTTCTGTGTTTCAAGCATGAGATATTTTCAGTGATTTTAACTTTATTTTCATCTATCTTTCATTAGACATAGGGATGAGAGAAGGGTTAGAAAATGGAGGAAGATGATTGGGGTTGGTGGGAGTGATTGGAAGCATTATCTAAGGAGAAAACCTCATGTTGTTAAAAGGCGTATAAGGAAAGGAATTCCTGATTGTTTAAGGGGCCTTGTTTGGCAATTGATATCTGGAAGTCGAGACCTATTGCTGATGAACCCTGGAGTTTATGAGGTAATCAAATTAATTTATATTGATGAAAGTTCTGATATATTTTGTAGAGCATTCTGTAAGCTATGATAAGTTCTCGTCACACTGTTGCTTGTTATCATTCTTCAATTAATATGAATTAAAGAATATTCTCCATTTTTATTTGCACATCTTTCTGTTTTATCACTTTGTGTATTTGTGTTTGCTGTCAGTGTCACCACCATGGTGCATATGCTGGGTTTTCTAAGTTGCACATTATTTTCCATGGTAATACACTGCTTAAAAATTACCTTGAATATGGGCATGTACACTATTTGAATTCGTTTGATCAAATTTTGTTTGACTGCTCCAATGAAATTCCACTTTGGAGTTGTCTTCCTAAAAGAATCATTTTGTATGCAATTGCAGATATGGTTTGAATTAACTAGTTTTTTTATAATGAGGTTTCCACCTTTTCCTTTTGAAATTATATCAAGTTCTATTACACTACTGTTCCACTTTCCGGAGTTTACATTGACAAGATATTATGTCTCTTGTAGCAACTAGTCATATATGAGACGTCAGCCTCTGAACTGGATATAATTCGAGACATTTCTCGGACCTTCCCTTCACATGTATTCTTTCAACAGAGACATGGACCTGGACAGCGGTCCCTCTACAATGTTCTAAAAGCTTATTCAGTCTTTGACAGAGATGTAGGATATGTTCAGGTTCTACTCAGGAGCCCATCACCTTTTTGTGCTTGTTGCAAAGTAATTCATAATACTGATTGTTTTAAAAATCCAGGGAATGGGTTTTTTAGCTGGGCTTTTGCTTCTTTATATGAGTGAAGAAGATGCATTTTGGTTGTTGGTGGCATTGCTGAAAGGAGCAGTTCATGCCCCAATGGAGGGCTTGTATCTGGTAACTATTTGTTCCATGAATTCATTGGTGCTGATTATGGTGTTAAACTGTCAATGCATTATCCCTGTCTTATATAAGATATGTATTCTATGAGGAAAGAACTGTATGTGTTGAATTGCATGTTTCTTGTTACCATTATATACACTTTGATGAGAGTAACTCCCTTTCAGCACAATTACTGATCTATTGATCGCAGGCAGGATTGCCTCTGGTACAGCAATACCTCTTTCAATTTGAACACTTGGTGAGGGAGCATCTACCAAAGTTGGGAGAACATTTTTCCCATGAAATGATAAATCCTAGCATGTATGCAAGCCAGTGGTTCATAACTGTATTTTCATATTCCTTTCCCTTCCATTTGGCTCTTCGAATTTGGGATGTCTTTCTCTATGAGGTTAGCTGTGCTTTCCCTCTGTAGAATCATTTATTGTTTAGAAACATGGATCTAGAATGATGATATTCTTATCTTTCCAGGGTGTTAAAATTGTCTTTAAAGTTGGCTTGGCTCTTTTACAGTTCTGCCATGATGACTTGGTTAGTATCATGTGAACTTATGTTTTGTTTGTTATAAATCAAAGCAAACTTCTGTTCATTGTTTGTGTTTTGTTTGTTTATCAGATTAAACTACCTTTTGAAAAACTGATACATGCGTTGAAAAACTTCCCTGAGGATGCAATGAATCCAAATACGTTGTTACCACTGGCATATTCTATCAAGGTTCCCTTCCTTTCCCTGCATTTTTATTTTTTCACTTGTACACTTGATAGGCATAAACCACTCCCCATAATAAAGAAGGTCTATCAAAGGAAAGCTAAAACCGGAAATAGAAGTTAGTTATAACTGTAAACAGATATAACCATGTCAGCCTATTGTAGTCTGGAACCCTATAAAGGGTGAGTGAGAGTTTTTAGTGAGGAAGGGAAGAATAAGAAATTCATTACGAGGGAGGGAGAGACAGGACTCTCGAATTATCCTGAGATTGCCATTGTATTTCAGCTTTTCTTGTTGTATTCTTTAGAAAGCATTAATAAAAGTCCTATTCAGTGTTATTCTGTTTTGGGTATCTAACAAATTGGTATCAAAGCTCCATGGTATCAAGACCGGTAATGCCTAGAGTCAAAACAAGAATGGAATCAAGAATCGAAAAATTGGAACAACACATGGAGTCTTGGAGCCGTGAGCGCGAGGAGGACCGTGCTAGTGAGGAAGAACGGTTTCGGAGGCTAGAAGATTTGGTGGAATCAATGATCCGTCGCTTGGACCACATTGCAGACAGCAGAGGGGAGCGACCATCAGGCAGAGGGGCCCCACCAGTGGAGGAGGAAACACATTCTAACACAGGAAGCAATGAAAGGTGGAGGAAGATGAAGATTCCTGTGTATGAAGGGGAAGATGATGTGTTTGGATGGGTGAACAAACTTGAAAGATACTTCAGGTTGCAAGGGGCTGATGAAAGGGAGAAACTGCAAGCTGTGATGGTGGCCCTGGAAGGAAAGGCTCTAAGCTGGTTCCAATGGTGGGAATCTTGCCACCCACACCAGCACTGGGAACAATTTAAGGAAGCCATTATTGACAGGTTCCAGCCAGCCATGTTTCATAGTCCTTTCGCTGCTCTGCTAGCACTGAAACAAGAGGATACCGTGGAAGAGTTTGTCTCGCAATTTGAGAAATTGGCAGGCATGTTAGGCGGAGTAGGAGAAGAACATTTGATGGACATGTTTGTGAATGGGTTAAAAGAGGAAATTGGAGCAGAGGTGAAACTGTATGAGCCTGCTAACCTGTCAGCTATGATGAAAAAGACCCTGATGATAGACCAAAAGAATGCTGCCATAGTCAAGAAGGAGGCGGGCGGGTCTGAAAGGCAAGGGAACCAATATAGAGCCCCCTCTTTTTCACGTACAGTGATTGTAGACACGGGACAGAAGCAAAAACCAGGAGGAAGGGCAATAGAAGGGGCGTCCACAGCCTCATCAACAGGCAGCAACATGAGTGGGTTTGGGTTTAGACGAAGAACAGGGGATTTTAAGAGGCTGTCCAATGCGGAAATGCAGGAGAAAATAAGAAAAGGAGAGTGCTTTAGATGTGATGAAAAATATGGACCCAACCATGTTTGTAAAAACAAACAGTTGAGGGTGATGCTCATAGAAGAAATGGAGGGACGTGATGAGGACAGCCCGGAAGAGGAAGAGAAGGGAGCATCATTCAGGCAATTATCCCTCAAAAGTATTGGGGGATTCACATCCAAAAAATCCCTCAAGGTATGGGGGGAGTTGGGCCAGGGAAAGGTGATAGTGTTAATTGATTGTGGCGCTACACACAACTTCATTTCCCACGAATTGGTACACAAAATTCAATTACCCATTAAAGATACTCCCTCTTACATAGTGAAGGTTGGGGATGGACATAAGGTGCGTTGTAAAGGGAAATGTGTTGGTGTTTCCGTGATGATACAAGGGATACCCATAAGGCAAGACTTCTACTTGTTTGGCTTAGGCGGGGTAGACATGGTGCTGGGTCTCGAATGGCTTGTTGGACTGGGAGAAATCAGAGCAAATTTTGAGCAAATGACCCTGAAAATTAATATAGAAGGGTAGATGGTCACATTGAAAGGTGAACCAGAATTAATCAAAGGCAGAACCTCAATAAACACAATACTCAAGGCCATACAACAAGGAGGGGAAGGGCTACTACTAGATTGTAGAATGAGGCAGCCAGAGGAGGAAGCTGCAAAAGAGATACCCACGGAGTTAATGACTGTTCTACATCAATATCAGGAGCTATTTGAGGCACCAACAACATTACCACCAGCAAGGAAGCATGATCATGCCATACACCTACAAGAGGGAGCTGTTATTCCTAATATCCGCCCATATAAGTACCCTTATTATAAAAAATCGGAAATTGAAAAAATGGTGAAGGAAATGCTGGAAGCAGGAATTGTGAGATATAGCTTAAGCCCATACGCTAGCCATGTGATTTTGGTAAAGAAAAAGGATGGAAGTTGGCGATTTTGTGTGGACTATAGAGCGCTTAATAAGGTAACCATACCTAACAAATTTCCTATACCCATCATTGACGAGTTGCTGGACGAATTGGGGAATGCTACAATTTTTTCAAAACTGGACCTAAGGTCTGGATACCATCAAATTAGAATGAGAAGCGAGGATATAGAGAAGACAGCTTTCAGAACCGACGAAGGTCACTATGAATTTGTGGTAATGCCCTTCGGGCTTACTAATGCACCCTCAACCTTCCAATCCTTGATGAATGAAGTCTTTAGACCTCTGATACGAACTTGTGTGCTAGTATTTTTTGATGATATCCTTATCTACAGCAGAAACAAAGAGGATCACACTCAGCACTTAACCGAGGTATTAAATTTACTGCTAAAGCATGAACTGAAGGTCAATCAAAGGAAATGCACCTTTGGCCAAACCACGCTGGAATACCTGGGTCACATTATATCGGCAGGCACTGTAGCAGCTGACCCAAAAAAGGTGGAAGCTATGTGGCTATGGCCCCAACCAAAAAACGTGAAAGGCCTCAAAGGATTCTTGGGTTTAACGGGGTGCTATCGGAGATTTGTGCAACTGTATGGTTTGATCGCAAAACCCCTCACTCAACTCTTAAAGAAGGACAGCTTTATGTGGAGTAAAGAAGCCCAAGCTGCTTTTGATAAACTAAAGCAGGCCATGACTATACTCCCAGCCCTGAGTGTCCCAAATTTTTCCAAAACCTTCATCCTGGAAACTGATGCGTCAGGGATAGGATTAGGGGCTGTTTTGCTCCAAGAGGGAAAGCCTCTAGCCTTCTGGAGCACTACCTTATCTGACATAAATCAAAGGAAGTCACTCTATGAAAGAGAGTTGATGGCAGTGGTTAAAGCTGTTCAGAAATGGAGGCACTATTTGCTGGAAACTCACTTCATCATACGAATAGATCAAAAAAGCTTAAAATTCCTTACGGATCAGAGGCTATGGGCAGAAGAACAATTCAGATGGATTTCAAAGCTGTTTGGGTATGACTTCGAAGTTCAGTATAAGCCAAGGAGAGAGAACACGGCCGCAGATGCTCTGTCTCGCAGGAGCTCATATTACTCCTTATCTGTCCTACAAATGGCAGATTGGGAAGAGTGGCAAGAGGAAATACAACAAGATGCCAAACTGAAAACCATTATACAGGATCTAGTGCTGAACAACACTTCTCATCCTGGATACACCTTGAGAGACCACAAGTTGTTCTATAAAAACAGTTTAGTACTCCCTAAAGCTTCCGCTAAAATTCCCATCATTCTAAAGGAATTTCATTCCTCTTTAATAGGGGGACATTCTGGATACTTCAGAACCTTCAAGAGAATTGCAAATATAGTTTATTGGGAAGGCATGAAGAAAGACATCAAGGAATTTGTGGCAGCATGTGATGTATGCCAGAGAAACAAATACTCCACTCTAACTCCAGCAGGGTTATTGCAGCCCTTACCCATCCCTACAGTAGTATGGAGGGACATTTCTATGGACTTCGTCGGAGGATTACCAAAGTCTAAAGGAAAAGATACTATCCTTGTTGTGGTAGATAGACTAACGACCATTGGGCCATCCTTATACAGCAGGAGAAGTGGCAGCAATCTTTGTGCAAGAAATAGTGAGACTACATGGCTTCCCTAGCTCTATTGTTTCGGATAGAGATTCACTGTTTATGAGCAATTTTTGGAAAAGTTTGTTCAAAGCAGTTGGCACGGAGTTGAAATTCAGTTCGGCTTACCACCCACAATCGGATGGCCAAACTGAGAAAGTAAACAGGAGTGTGGAGGTGTACCTACGATGTCTAACCGGGACAAGGCCCAAAAACTGGATGTCGTGCTTAGCTTGGGCAGAATACTGGTTCAACACTAATTACAATGCCTCTAGCAAAATGACCCCATTTCGGGACCCTATATGGAATTGACCCCCCATCCCTTCTCAAGGGGTCTGTGACTCCATCCCGAATGGAGGAGGTCAACCAGTTGGTGCAGAACCGTGATGAGTTGCTGGACGAACTAAGAAACAACATCCTTAAAGCCCAAGATGCCATGCGCATACATGCTAATAAGCATAGAAGAGATGAAGAGTTCCAAGAAGGGGACTGGGTGTTTTTGAAGATCCAACCTTACAAACGAAAATCTATGTCTAAGAGACTAAATGAAAAACTGAGTCCTCGCTTCTATGGCCCCTTCAAGGTTATAGCTAAAATAGGGCAGGTGGCTTACAAGTTGGAATTACCTCCAGACAGCAAAATTCATCCAGTTTTTCATGTATCATTACTGAAGAAAAGAGTGGGCCCACCAGTACAAACTCAACCTCTACCAAAAATGTTGACAGAAGACCATGAGCTGCTAGTTTGTCCATAAAACGTATTGGAAGTGCGTGAAACAATAGGGGGCGAGGTGGAAGTCTTGATACAGTGGCAAGACCTGCCTTTATGCGAAAATAGCTGGGAATCAGCTGCAAGGGTACAAGAAGCTTTTCCGTCCTTTGACCTTGAGGACAAGGTGAAACTTTTGGCGCCGGGTATTGATAGGCATAAACCACGCCCCATAATAAAGAAGGTCTATCAAAGGAAAGCTAAAACCAGAAATAGAAGTTAGTTATAACTGTAAACAGATATAACCATGTCAGCCTATTGTAATCTGGAACCCTATAAAGGGTGGGTGAGAGTGTTTAGTGAGGAAGGGAAGAATAAGAAATTCATTACGAGGGAGGGAGAGATAGGACTCTCGAATTATCCTGAGATTGTCATTGTATTTCAGCTGTTCTTGTTGTATTCTTTAGAAAGCGTTAATAAAAGTCCTATTCAGTGTTATTCTGTTTTGGGTATCTAACAACACTACAGACTCAAAAATACATGTTTTCCTCCTTGTCATAGACAATGAATGAAATGACTTGGAGCAGGATACACATTTTTCTCCTTGCCACATTTTCTTTCACTTCATAACATCCACATGCATTTTATTTTGTCATACTCAAAGATACTTTTAAAATTGAGTGTTACACTATGTTACTTTTAAATCTCTGATTTATTGGTTTGGTTGATCAAGTGGTGGTTATCATAGAATTGATACAATTTCAGAAGTTGGTCTAGTTCTAAAATATCAAACAACATTGAATCTGCATGTAGAAGATATCTGTCTCCATATAATTTTCGACTCTGCCCAAGCAAATATGGTTTTACTGAGTCACTCATTTTTTTTCTTGATCGATGTCATTGTTCCTTATCCTTTGTCAAATAGTTTGGACTTAGCATTAAACATTTATTATCTTGAACATGCAGCTCAAAAATGGTTCAAATCCATTTTTAATTGGCAGTTTTCATACCAACATAATTGTATATTGAGAAATTTCTGCTTCTTGGTTGACTCCATGATGCATATTTTTTCAGCTTTCTAGCATTTTTCATAATTGATAGTCAATTAAGAATGACGATAGCCTCTTCAATGATAGAAGCACAAATAAGGAATGGGGACAACAGGGTTTGCAAGGATTGCAAATGCATTTCAAGAGAGATCCCACGTACCTAGCATGGGGTTTTGGTTCTTGATGGAGATGCGCTGAGTGGGAAAGGAGAAATCAAACTAACTTTGAACTGATTAAATGAAGGATGACAAAATGCATATTTTTTCAGCTTTCTAGCATTTTTCATAATTGATAGCCAATTAAGAATGACGATAGCCTCTTCAATGATAGAAGCACAAATAAGGAATGGGGACAACAGGGTTTGCAAGGATTGCAAATGCATTTCAAGAGAGATCCCACGTACCTAGCATGGGGTTTTGGTTCTTGATGGAGATGCGCTGAGTGGGAAAGTAGAAATCAAACTAACTTTGAACTGATTAAATGAAGGATGACAATTGGTGTTTTGGAGAAATATATATTAGAGGGGATTTTGGGGATAGAAGGGGTTGACATCTGGTGGTTGAAGATGGCTAGCAGGCTAGGGATTTAGAGGGTAACAGAAGTAGTTTTTAGTCCCAAAAGTAAAGATCATGTTGGCAGGAGATTGTTGAATTGAGTGTTAAAGCTAAAGAAGAATGCTTTAGTAGGGCAAATTTACATAGATAAGAAAGATAGTGAACAGGTGGTTAGCCTGGTGAACACAAAATCTTTCTTGTTATGTTAGTGGAAATACATATATACAAATATGCTAGGGTATGCAATGCGTGAAAATACCCTTAAGGATAAGTACACCTTGTCACAAAAGTAATAAAGGGTTTTTATTCTTGCGTATGGCACCCTCCTAGACCAAATAATAGGTACCAGATTTGCATGATTCTTGCCTATCCAAACAAATGAATTAAATTGGTTTCCAAAATTAATTATAGATCAAGGAAAGGAGGCAACGGTAAGCCAAGAGCTTCGAGAATGCAAGGATAATTGACTATTGGTGAGATCCAAAGCCTTAGGTTTCAGTTGCAATCAATTGTGATTCTCCCTAATTAAAGAAAAGAAATCTTTAAAAGTTATTCACCTCTTCTATTGCTTTAGTCATACATAATAGGAATTAAACATCAAAAGCAAATCTAAAACGAGTTGCATGATAAACAAGGAAAAGATCAAGAAAGAGAAAATTAAAAAAACCCTTTTCTTCCTAAGAAGCTCGTTTTTGTAATCTCCTTGATTAGTCTCCACTTCAAAGATCTGTCACGGTACCTCTGTCCCTCTCCAAAAAAAGGGCATAGAAAGTGTTAGAATGCTGAAATTGACATGGAATAGCACAACATAACACCCCTATGAGTCCTAATTAACATTATTTATATGGTCGCTCTTGATCAAGCAACAATAACAAAGAGTGATAAGTATTTTGGCTGATTTATATATCTTTTTTCCTCGTTATTTGTCTCAAGATTTTGTTAAAACAATTCAAAAGTTTTTAATCGTGCTCCACTCATTGTTTTTATCTTATTTAATGTATTTTAATACCTTGCCTAATTTTCTGCATTATTGTATCCATGTAGAGATTTAAAACATTTCCTTTTGTCTCTAACGTTTTCTTGTATTCTTTCATTCCACTATTAAGATTTCTTATCTCTTAGCCTGAAGCCTCTTGATTCACTCATAAATGCCTTAACAACTCTCCTAATCTTCTTAGATATCTTATTCCAAATGAGGTTAACATTGTCTTGTACTTTTCCATTACATTCTTCTAATAACTATTTTTGAAAATCCAATTGTTTATCACTTTTAAGTGGTGAAAAATTATAACTTGTCGAGTTCTTTGTTTACCATTTTTGAAAAAAACATCAAGGGTCCAGACCTTATATTGTGTAGTAAGATTCTCTTGAAGAATCACTTTATAATGGTTGCAAACTCTTATTTGGAATCCTTACAAAACTTAAATCACTTATGCAACTTTGAGAATATACTCTATAAGTGATAAGGTGTTTCTCTCACTTTTCAATACAAGTGTGTATGATCTTGAAATCATGTCATTGAAAAATCATGGAATAGTTTGTCCTTATTTAACTCTCCAAAACCAAAATCACTGTAAATTGTTCTAAATTGTCTTGCCTTATAGCCAACATAACTATTTAAATTCCCACTTATAAAAATCTTTTCAACTTATGGAATGTCTTGAATCCAGCCCTCTAAATCAGTGTCTTGTCCTCAATCTTTTAACCTCTACCACATTCTTCTATCAAGTCTTGTACAAAATGATACTTACTTCATTCTTTACTTTGACTTTCTTTGTATACCAAAGTTTAAAACTTGTAGTAACAAGCTGCTTAACTTTTCTCGATCCCATTTTGTTTCTTAAAGACACATGATGTTAATCTTTCTTAAAATGACAATGACCACCACTTTTAAAGACTTACCTATCAAAGTACCAATATTTCATGAATCAAACATGTTCAAGCTCTTTTGGGCTAGGTGCTTTACCTACATTTCTCCAGCAAAATTTGTTAATATGTTGTTGTATGGCTGTGCCTATTGTTGATTTAAGGTTGTGCACTGTTTTGCTCAGCCATGCATATGTTGATGTCAAATTATTTGTTTTTGTAACATGGAATGCTTACTATGCATACCTTTTGCATGGCCTTGCACAACCAAGCATACCTCCAGGTCTGAAAAACTTTGAAAATTCTAGTTGAAGTCTCTTGAGAATGGCTTCTTTTTAGTTTATTTTAATGTCTGTCATCCAAACCATTAACCTCTACAACATATAGGTGAATTTATGTGAAAATTTAACTTTCAATGATAATACACAGTTCTAAAATTAGCCTAAATTCCCATAAATAAATAGGTAGCATGCAATTTATTAGGTTGGGAAAAGAAAGCAGGAGATTTAGATCAATTAGCCCCACATTTTTTTCATTGCAAGTAACTCGGTCCCGTGAATTTCCATCTGGTACAATTTATTTAGTCCCAAGGCCTTTCCTACTACAGTCTATTTGGTCCTGTAGCTTTTCCAATGCAATTGAAAAAAGTCAGTCCTATAATTTCCATTCTCTAGTGTCCACTATCGTGTTCAAAGTGGTGTGTTGAGATTCCACATTAATTACAAATATAGCTAAAGTAAAGCTTATAAATGTTAATTAGGCTCCGTTTGAGTGAGTTTGTGGATAAGTCTTTGTAATAGAAGAAAAATAATATAAAAATTGAACAAAATTTCTTTCATAAGTTAAAATTAAATTATACTTTTTTATATTTTAGAAGTTACTCTCATTTAACTTTTCTAGAACTTGAAGAGATAAGTTATTTGTAACTAATAAAAAAAGTATTATTTGTTTTTTATATAGTTTTTCTTCTCTTACAAGAACTTATCAACAAGCTCACCAAAATAGGGCAATCATCTTATGATTTAAGTCCAAAATTAAGTTCCTTGCCACGTATTAATTAACAAGTTATTTCAGGTTTGTTTCCACATCCCTTTGTAATTATGTTTCTTCTTTACCACACTACATATTATGGCCATCGCAATAATGCATGGCTATGATGTGATTAGACCATATAATATTTGTTCAAGTCAGATATAATTCTAGGATTACACATAACGGATCTACATTATGTTTCTCATCAGATATCCAAACGTCTAGAGGAACTGAAACAAGAGTATGAGAAGAAGAATGGAAAGATAAGTCGATCTAGAGAACTTTCTGAAAAGCAAATAGTTCCAAGTGTCCAGAGCAACTGAAGCATGAGCATATGTAGATAGCATTCTCATGAAGAACTATTAAAGCAGAGAAATTCCATACCCCATATGTAGATAGCATTCTCATGATTCTATGTTGCATTGGTTGCTGACTCTTGTCAAATTTCAGTTTATGAGGTTTTAGTGAATATGAAAATATGTTGCATATTTAGAGACTGATATGGGTCTCTTTCTTTTTTGTTTTCAACTCTGAAAAATGTTGTTTTAGAAATTATGGTTTTTGTTATTATTAAAGGGGATTCATTTTGCTGAAAGGAATTACTTTTCAGCTGAGGCGAGGAATACTCTTGGTGGACCAATAAAAAAGAGAAAAAATGGTTTATGGAATTAATATCCATTATTGGGTAAATTACGTTATACTTCCTGGAGGTTTGTTAAAATGATATCGAATTCCAAATTTTGTCATAAATTACTTATCGACGAGTCATGGGCAAAATTGAAGCAAGATCTTTTTTCTCAAGATTTTAATATTACCAATTTTGTTAAAGAAACTTGTTCAAATTATTATCCAATAATGTCTTAACAGCATTAAATATTTTAGGAAGAAAAAATAATAGATTTAATTATATTTTTTGTCTTTATAAATATTGAATATTTTATGATAAGTTTTTATAATTTTTTTTACATTTAATCTTTACATTAATTCTTTTCTGGTAAGTGTTTATGAAAATAAAAGAAAAAAAAGTTAGAAGATTTTTTTATAAATATTTAAAATGTGTTTAAAAATTTGTTTACAAGTAATAATTTTAAATAATAAAATATTAAAAATTTAAATGATATAACATGATACATGAAAATGGATGAGCTGGCCTTCTTGTAAGTCCCAACTCAGCATTTACCCTAGCTCAGCATTTAAAGAGGTTAATGACGTAGATCAAATTCTAACTTCTTTAACAATTTAAAATTAAATATTAATAAAAATTGTTTTATAAGAACTTGTTATAAAATATCTAATATTTATATGAATAAAAGACATAATTAAATCAAAATAACATATATGACATGATGTATTTTACAGAAACCAGCATAATTTATGTAAGTGTATAATGTATTTTTTATTATTTTATACCTAACTTTTAAATACTTTCATTTTTTAAATGAATTTTAAAATTTAACATAAATGCTTTATTTTTACAGAAAACCATATGTTCTCCTTTAAACATAAAAGAACATTATATTTATAGCATTTTTAAATTTTAATAACATGAAAATTAAAACTATTAGAGTACATCTTGTACTCTAAATTTATTTTTAATAAAATGTTGACATTTAGTTAAAAATATAAGCATGAAAATTAAAAATAAATAATATTATAAGTAAATTTAAATTTAAAAATTTAATAATTTGTTTCTACTGGCAACTAAAGTTAGCTATTGCTACTAACTGCTTTTAGAAGATTTTGTTTTCTTCTGCTTAAAAATTTAGTTTTGATGCAACTTCCAAAAAATAAACACTTTGGTTTTTAGGTGTTTTTTTTTTTAAAATGTACTATGAAAGAATGTTAACCTCCATTCTTAAAGTTGAAGATAAACAACATGATATTTTTTTTATTTAAATACTTTTTTAATTTATATTAAGAATATAAAAGTGTAATAAATATTATATTTTTTTAATAAAAAATATTATTTAACCCTATTATAATACATTGAATTATGTGATATCTTGTGAATTATAATAAAAATTTATCATACATAATTCTTAGAAAATGTCAACAAGAGTGACCTTTAGGATACTTAGTTAAGGAATTAAAAATAAAAATATTTTACTAAAAATTTAAAAGTGCACCCGTTAACATAATTTTAGTGTATTTTAATGTAATTTTTAATAAAAATGTATTATTTATTTCAATAAAAATTAATAAAAATTTTATTTTTATTATATATTCTAGATGCACGTTATTTGTTACATAATAAGAAAATAGTTTAAATTTTATCGACCAAAATTTGTCAAAATAACAAATAACTTGATATCGCTTAAACAAAGTTTTAGATTTAGAGTTTTTTATATAAAAAATAGTTTAAATTCTTTTTCGAAGTATCACTAACTTTGTGATGTAAATAACTACTGTACATAATAAATTAATAATATAATTCAGTGTTTTATACTTTTAAGTACGCAAATATTTAAATATATTATGAACACAAAGTTTTATGCATCTTGAAAAATTAAATTAAATAACTTTAAGGATGTATGTAAAAGGAGCTTTCCTGTCTGAAATCATTTGTGGTTACCAAATTAATTCGATGATCGCTGGAGAAATCTAGAAACTAATGATTTTCACAAAGATTAAACTTGTGCAAGATATGCACAAAAACATAAAAGAAAAGAAAAAATCAGGATACTTGTAATTATAGATAAATTATTGATAGTACAAAGATCTAAATCAAAAATCTTAATCACTTATATTAAGTATATAAATATGAGTTTCGCTAACCTCAACTTTTAGAGTTGAGTTTAAGCATCTACAAATAAATTTTTTTTTATAAAAGAACATGTTATTATTATATTAAAATTATAAAAATATAATAAATATTTTTTTTAATAAATTTTTACTGTTATTCATCCTACTCACTAAGAGCTTAAAGTTAACAAAATCTTATAAATATAATTATTGTTTTTACTAGTCACTTTTTGATGTTAAACTGGATGACCGGAGGAAGTAGTTTCATTTTATAAGCATATTACTGCATTACTTATTAGAATATTTAATCAAATTTAAACATTTAATCAACTCGTTAACCAAATAGGTTCCAGTAAAATGAAGGAATCAAAGTGATTGATTACATTTGAAATAAAATGGAATCAAATTTCTTTCTGCAAAAATACACCAATCAAGAAAACAAGTTTTATTTCATGGTTCTAAGTGAAGCAATAATCCATTTAACTACACTAATTGTTCATCCCTGTTGCGTTCTTCACAGCATCCGCAGCTCCTTGTACTTTAGCCTTCATTTGCTGCCCGGCCTATGTATACACAACAAAATACCATAGTTGGGTCCAATTCATCAAAGAATATAAAATAGGATAGATGTTTCTTGTACACAAAAAACTGGGACAACAAATTAAAATTTTATTTTATTTATTATAAAGTGATAAATAGCAATAGTTGTAAATAATGTTGCCAACTTTTTAATGTTCAAATAACGTACTGGATTATGGTGTGTTTATTTTATAATTTAGTATATTTAAATTTAAATTATTGAGCACAAATGAGATACATGTCAACACTAAAAGCCATAAATTTTTATCAAAACATGCACTATTTTATTATAAATAATGAGAATTAATTTTTCAATTGTAATAGAAAATACGCATATTATCACTGTCTTTCATTTATTATAATCTTGCATCTAAAATTAATGTTGATAGAATAAATTTTGAACTATTATTGAACATATTTGGAATATGTTATAAATAATCTTAACCAAATATTTTTATTATAAGGTCTAATTTATTAAAAAGTATAAAAATTGATTTTTGAACTGTAAGCCAAAGATACACAGAACATGTAATGTTTCCCTGTGTCTTGATTGTTAAACACATGATCGATTGACTAGGAGAAATGTTGAGAAATGAAAGTAATAACCTCTTGCATGGAGTCTTGTGCAGATTGAGCAGCATTGCTAGCCTTGTCCATTAAGTTGCTAGCCTTTTCCTGCATTGGCACAAAAACTTGGTTGAGTTATCAAAATTGAGCAAATGAAGAGACCATAGCAAAGAGAAAGTTATGTCATAGACCTGAGCTTGGCCCTTGGCCTGTCCTGCTTGGTAGCTCATGTTTTGGGAGTCCATCTTGATTCTTCTCCTAAACTGTTGTAATCAAACCAAATGTTGTGAAAATCAGGTGTTGCTTTAGTTTTTCTTATGCATATTTCTCACTTTTGTTGCAACCTATATAGTTTCTTAATATACTACAGCATTCAACACGTGTTTTCTTTCTCATGTTTTGCTGCACAAATTTTGATTCACATTTTGCTACCTTCACGTGCGTTTTCAAGGGCACATGTCATGCCATTCTTGAAAAGTGGCTAACCTTAGCTTAGATGGGATCTTATCATTTTTTCTAATAATAGGGCAATTTTGATTTGATGTTATGGCTAAAATCTTTGTTGCAAAAGTGTCCACACATGTATTGGATATTATGAGTGAACTACGAACCGTTAATTAATCTATTCAAGGTATATTATAGAAGCAGAATGCTACTGTCAAATTAATAGTAAAAAAATATATAGTAGTAATTAGAGATATAAATGAGGAAAATTTTATTTAAAATTGAAGCTTTAAAAAAATATATACACTTCAACATGAGCAGACTTGCTGGATAGAATGATGAACAATGGCAAGTGCTAGTGGAATGTTGAATGTTCGGAAGGCAAGCTTGAATGAGACAAACCAAAAGATGACAAGTAAATATAACATCATTCCGTGAATAATTGACTACGAAGCATCAAATCATATGACATGAAATTTGAAGTGTAACATACGGGATATTTAAGCATGTCTAGTAGGACTTTCGAATGGTGAGAGCACTCTTGCAACCAAAGAAGGAGATGTGGTACTTGATGGGGGTCTAAAACTTACTAGTGTCCTCTATGTTCCTAAGTTGCAATGCAACTTAATAACTGTAACCCAACTATTAGATGCATGCAACTGCGTTATGCAAGTTACTAACAAATTGTGTGTTATACAGGACCACACTACAAGGATATTAATTGGAGTAGGTGACCGAAGGAATGGACTTTATTTCTTTCATGGAATTAAAGGAGCAAAGACATTTCGTGTTGATAGAGTGAACCACGTGAAACTCTGGCATAGCCATTTAGGACACCTTTCTTAGAAAATCACACAATTAGTTTTTGGTGTTAGTGAAAATAAAAAATGTGAATCATTGAATGAGGCTTGTAATGTTTGTCTTAGAGCCAAACAAATTAGAGAAAAGTTTCCTTTGAGTGATTACAAAGCAAATAGTGCATTTGAACTAGTTCATTGTGATTTGTGGAGAGCATATAGAACTCCTTCTTCATGTAGATCATTTTATTTCTTAACAATAGTTGATAATTTCTCACGTGCTATTGGATTTATTTACTTGTTGATAAAAGAGAAATGTCAAGAACACTACTAATTTCTTTGCTTTGGTAGAAAGACAATATAACAAACAAGTAAAGATATTTAGAAGTGATAATCGGACATAATTCATTTTTATTAAGAATTATTTTCTTTATCATAGAAATATTTTTCAAACATCTTGCACAAGGACACCACAATAAAATGGAAGAGTCAAAAGGAAATGTAACGCCTTATATTTCTTTTCTAAATATATGATAAATTCTCATAAAAATTTAAATAGTAAAGT